CATTGGCGAAGCAAGGGTGGTCTCGGCCTTCATATGTGCTCATTAACAGCACTTTCCTCAACAGTCTGTTAAAGGCTATATGGGGGAACTTTGTCTTTTTTGTTTGTGTGCGTGTCCGTCTCTGCGTGGGTGGAGGTTGGCGCACCGTTCTACGAACCCTACGATCCCAGTTCAGTTCCCGGCCACGGCTAACGCCAGTGGCGAGTGATGATCTAAATTGGCAATGGGCACCCCCTTAGACGGCTCGGCCATATACATGTTTACACGCTGATGCCGCTGATGCCGCTGATGCCGCGTGTAAACATCGGCGCTGGCGTAGGTGAATCCGGCTGGCGCGTGGGTTCGGCGACACCCAGACCTGTTGCGACGTACCAACCTGAGCAGATGCTCGCTAATAGCACTCGCCCGGGCCATTTAGCTGTCGCGAGGCGCGGCTTGAGTGCTGCAGTAAAACCCCTTTGAAACTTTTCCAGGAACGTATTACAGCGGTCGCGTCCCGCAGAGGCGGTGGCTTCTGGCGCAGCGTTCGGGGTAGAGAGCACTTCCGTTCGTGCCGGGAGGAGGCTCGGGCCTTGCAGAGGGAGGGAGGCCGTTTGTTAGCCGAGCGTCTCTGACGTACTTCACCACTCTGGTCCGTGTGCGGGTTTGAGCCTCCGATGTAGCACGGTTGACTACGTACGTTGCGAAAGAAGTTCAACATACGTACGAGAAATGAGGGTTCGGTGCGCAGGTACCGTTTCGGCAATCGCCCGCGACCGATGTTGGCCGTTGTCCGGGAAACGGAGGTCGGGTCGCCGGCTTCACGCGCCAACCGCTGCGCCATCCTCCCGTCTCCACGGCAACGAGAGATTTTGCACTCGCCGGCGTGCGCTCAGGAGCCGTCGGGCTGTTTTTTTTCCGCGGTGAACGAGTCCGCTCACGAGTTGGAGGACACGGCCGCGTTTGAGCCGCGTTGCCGACTAACGTCACACGCAGTGAAACTAAAACTATGAACACTATTTTTATTTTACCAGGTAAGGCCCACTGAGCTGCTATGTAGTTTTTTTCCAGACGCGACCTGGCTATCGCAAGTGATAGCTCAACGAAGCGGTTTATTGTGGGGAACTTTATAGCAGCCAAACACTCGAAACGCACGATGGTGATTCTAAATGTGGAGGAGAAAACCGGAGGACTGGAGAAAAATCCACGTGACCATGGGGAGAACATGCACACTCAGGGTCGGGATCGAATCCACGACCTCTTCTATAACAGGCGAGGTAGTTAACATCTCGCCTCCAATGAATACGTGATTAGTCCCTCCCCTGGCCCTGCTTGGCCCTGACTCAAGATTCGGATGTTGGGTAAGGTGAGCGTAGCGCGGTTTGGGTCTGGCTCGGTGGGGCAAACAGCCGGTGGGAAAACGGCTCGTAGCATGGCTCTGATGTGCCAGCGGAAAAGGGGCACAGGTGACCGCAGAGCAGTGTGGTACAGAACTAGCATACAGAGCTGGGACAGGCAAGCAGAGAAATATGCAATGCAACCATCAGAATGCGTGCAATCAGAGCGGATCAGGCTGAACACAAATCGTATCGAAGCACTCACGAAAAGCAAACACGATGCGGCCATAAAACAGAGGGCAGAGTAACATCGAGTGAGCTGGGAATGCTATGATGAGCGATTGCACTTAATCTTTAACGTGGCGTGGTTTTGCGAGCCGCTGGGAAAAGGGCCCTCACCACGTGGAGGTCTGGGTGGTGGGGTCGGGGAGTTGATGGTGAGGGTCAGTAGCCATGATGTTGCAGGGTCCCCCTCAATGTGGGGGCCACGCTGGTACGGCAAGTCACATTTGGGTTCCGATCCAGCACAGCAAACAGCCAGTGGGAAATCGCCTTTACCGTGAAGGCCCCACGCCAGCTCTAAACGAAACTATTTTTTTATTTTACCAGGTAAGGCCCACTGAACCACGGTGGTGAGATGCTAACTACTTTGCCCGGTATACAGGAGGTCGTGGGTTCGATCCCGACCCTGATGCCTGCTGTATATTTTGAGTTTTCGCATGTCTCTCCATGGTTGTGTGGATTTTTCTCTGGGTCCTTCGGTTTTTCCCTCCACATTTAGAATCAACATCACGCGTTTGGTTGCTATAAACTGTCACGTGATGAGCCACTTCGTTGAGCTATCATTTGTGGCCAGGTCGCTTCTGAAAAAGAGCTACATAGCTCAGTGGGCCTTACCTGGAATTGTATTTAAATATTATTTTAGTTTATACAGTTCTTTTGCAGAAGCGACCTGGACAAAAATGATAGCCCAACGAAGTCACATATCATCACGTGGTCATTTATAGCAGCAGCCAAATAGTATAGACGGCTCGGCTCGGGTGTGCCAGTGGAAAAACATGGTGCAACTCGCTGGAAGAGGGGGGAGAAGGGTGAGCTGGTTGTGAGTGAGAGAAACGGAGAGAGGCACAGAGGTGCGATCGGACTGATGGGCCGGTATGGATGGGAGAGGCAGCCGCAGGGAGGGAGGGGGGTGGTGAGGGAGGGCTGGGGGGGATGAAAGGGGAGAGGTGGGGGCTGCGGTGAGGTTGAGCTGCTCAGTGGGAGGGAGGTGGGGGGGGGTCGGGGGAGGAGGGGGGCTTATAGCTGCTGTGGGAGGGGTGGCGCTGAGATTGCGCACTGGGGTACTAACGGCTCATAGACGCATTCATGAGCACATCAAAGTGCCGTGCCCCCCCCCCATTCCACCCCCTCCTCCCCCCTCCCGTTCTTTGTCGTAGACATTTTCACATGCAGATGAGTCTCACCAGCTCCCCGCTAGGGTAGCACTCTTGCGTGCGTGGCAACGTCCCGCAACCCAAGTTCGACTCCTGGCCGGGAGCCGCGTTCATCTTTTTCAGGCATTCCTCAGTGACGTCATCACGCTGTCCGCTGTGATTAAGGGCCGTTGCCTGAAACGCCGCCTCTTATTGTACCCCTCTCCAGGGCGGCGTTACCCAACGCCGAACGTGCCGAGCTGTTGTTGTTTGTAGCTGTTGCGTCGCTGCCGAGGCGGCATCGGTGGCATCGCCGGAACGTTCCCGATGATCCACGTCCATCGATGCCTCGACAGGTTTACCGGTTCCATCGCTCGACTTGTCGGGTAGCACCAAAATTAGCTTGGAATAACCTATCTACCTATTTTTATTTTACCAGGTAAGGCCTGCTGAGCTATGTAACTCTTGCAGAAGCGACTTTGAGACACATTATAGCTCACACGAAGTGGCTTTTTACGTGGAAATTTATAGCAGCCAAAAACTCTCCAACGCATGACGTTGATTCCAAATGTGGAGGGAAAAACCAGGGGACCCAGAGAAAAATCCACGCGACCACGGGGAGAGACGCACAAACTCCAAATATACCGCAGGGTCGGGATCGAACCCACGACTTCCTGTATACCAGGCGAGGTGCTCTCCGTGTGTGCTGCTGGACGGGAGGTGACAGGGCGGGGCTCTGTGAAATCGACCACCGCCGCGTGGGGTAAGCTCGGGGGTTTCCCTCCTTCTCTGGAGACGGCCGGATGGATGTGGGTGCAGTGGCCTTTTGAAAGAGGCCTAAGTATTTGACCACGATTAAAAAAAGACGTGAGGAGCGATGTTTGGTCGATGAGTTGACTTGGCCCACCGATGGTCGCGACTCAGGTGTGGGGTGTTAGCGCTGCACTACGCACCCGGCGACCCGAGTTCGATTCCCGCTCGTGGCCACCAACAACAGTGACGATTATCTGAACTGGTACTGAGCCTCTCCTAAGTCGACGGACTTAAATGCGTACCCGGTGCGGTGTGTAAACATCTCCACTGGGGAGACAAAGACGACTGGGCGTGGTGCTGGCCACCCCACCCCCTCGTGTGCCGTGCCGGCCTTCACAGGTGCTGCTCGCTAACAGCACTTGCCCCAACAGTCTATTGTTATATGGGGGATCTTTGTGTTTGTGTGTGAGTGTGTTGGTGTCAGAGTGTGTGTGTGTGCCTAGTGAGCGGTAGTGTAGCGGTTGGTTCACTGCGCCACGAACCTGGCGACCCGAGTTCGACCCGAGTTCAAGGGGTGGCAGCGAGAGGGGGCTGTTTTCATGCTGAGAGTGTGGGGCCGTGCTTCCGAGGGAATGTGCGGTGAGTGGTACGTGTGGTGTGGTGAGTGCTGTGTGCCATGTGTCGTGTGGCGAGTGCCGTCTGGTGCATGCTGTGGGTGCGGGGTGTTGTGGGGTTGACGCTGCGGGGTGTGGGCTGCTCGTAGTAGTCGTAGTCAGGTTATTATCATCACCGTGTTTCTCGCGCTCCAATCTGCCCAGCGGGAGCTTTTACTGAAAGCTTGAGCTACGGCTCTGCAGCCTCCTCCACCACTACCACCACTATCGGCACCACTGTCACCACCATGACCAGCACCGCCACCACAACTGTCAGCACCACCATCAGCACCACTGCCACCACCAACACAGGCACCAACACCACTGTCACTACCAACAACAACAACAACAACCGCCATTCGCCATTAAGTGGCGGTGACACAAACACGGCGCTTGTTCCAGGCTAATGTGCATTTTAAGGCCACGTGAAGTGTAGAATGCCCGCTGGCAGGAGTTCACAGGACAGACCCAGGTGCCATGGGTTGACTGATTTCGATGGCCACTGCCACCACCACCTTCAGAATGGGTCAGTGAAGAGAGGATGATGACTGGTTCAGATTTCATTTTGCTGCTGGCTGGAAATCAAACCCAGGCCGTTGGGTTCACAATGCAGTGCACGAATCGGCGGCTCCATGGCGCGCAACGCTCGCGTTCCGAAGGTCCGGGGAAATATCTTCAAACGTCACGAGAATTCCGAAACTCGTCCCGATCCTCCGTGAACTCCCCTCCACCGCGCGCATGCCGAGCATCGTGGGAAACGCCGTGGGTTCCTCATGGAAGGGGGGAGGGGGGGGTGGGTGGGGGTTGGCGCAGAGCGAGTGGCCGCAGGGTAATCCGTGTTCCTCCTCCTCCTTGTCGCGCAG